CCCGCCAGCCGCTCATTGCAGTGGGGTAACACTGCAGACCATAAAGAAGCTCCCTCCTCTGTTGCCTCTCCTGCGTGGTCCCTGGGGTTGCAGGGGCACAGGGGGCATCCTTGGGGACGCAGTGACCACAGCCTGACACTTTTGGGCTGTGCCACATCCCTGTGAGCGCCCTCTGACCAGCCAGACATTCAGGTCTGCGGTGTGGCCCTGGATTTTCCAATCCCATGGCTCCCTGTGGCCCTGGAACAGTCACGGGCAGGCTCCCCTCCCCACCACCCAGGTCTCCACACAGCTTCACCTGTTCCATGGGCAGGTGCCTCCTTCTGAGGCTAGATCCCTCCTCTGCGTCTCCCCTGGGTGGGCTCCATGCCACGCAGCCCCTGCCTCACAGACCATCCCCACTCCCAGCAGGACTCCACGCTGGCCCCAGCGTGCTCAGGCCACCGCAGTCAGGACACGAGGCCCGCAGCCCTGGCTCGCTCCAGATGCCACCAGCTCAGCCCAGTCCAACTCGGTGGGGCAGGACTGAGCCACACAGCTCCAGCACAACACTGCACAGGGAAGCTCACGGGGGCCAGCACCAGCTCCAGCCCTCACTCCCAGCCTCTGCTGAGGCTGTACAAGAGGCAGCATGGGTGAAACCATCGCTCCTACAATGTTTATTTTAGCAACACAAATAAGAGATTGAAATTAATTATTGACTGGTGAGTGCAGGGATGCAGGGGCACAGCCTCATGGGGAGAGGGCTCAGCAGGGATGGCAACCTCCAAGGGACCTGGCCCCTGTCATCCGGTGAAGAGAGGATAGGAGCCAGGTCACGGTAAGACACCCAGGACCGAGGGCTCCCTGCAGCCCTGCCATCAGCCTGCCCCTGCCCCTCTCACACCCACAGCTGATGTGGTGAGGCAGCAGGCAGAGCCGAGCTGGCTTCTGCTGAGGCTCAGCCCTGGCATGCACCTGGCTAAAGGCAGCTGGCCATCACTGCACGGCTGGGACGGGGTGTTTGGAGCAGCACACATACAGTGGAGAGGCGGCCAGCCCCAGCTTGGAGGCACAGCACACTCAGCGCCACTCGGAGAGGGGGTCCTGCAACACCCGGGGCTCCCCGCATCCCATCGCTGCTGCAAACGAAGCAAAGACACTGGGTTCAAAGCAGAAGAGCGTGTATTGCAAGCGGCTGCGGCGCGTCCGGAGAGACTTCCAGCCGCCGGGAGAAAAGAACAGAGGGGTTAAAAATGATCCCAGTCTCTAGGGTTACACTGTGTCATGCAAACAGCCCCGGGGCAAACCCCATCCCAGGAGGTGGAGGGGAGGGTGTGCTGGCCCAGCCGGGCCACCCGTGGCTCACCCCCTGCTCCCCATCGCCGGGGCTGGGTGAGGGGCCAGGCGCCTCCCCAGGAGCCGGCGTCCCCCAGCCCTGCTCACCAGCGAGCACGGCGCATGCGGGGTGGAGGCTGCGGCTGAGCAGGAACAGTCCTTGCTCTCTCCCCCCTCCTTACAAAAAACAAGCCGTGTGGGGCGTCTGCTCCCCACCCGGTTGAGTGGAGCCGAGGGCGGGGGGG